TCTTTCCATTATTTTGGCAGTTACCTGTAGAACTCAAGGCTCACCATCTCTAGGTATAAAATATAGCTATGCAGCTACACAAACAAAGAAAAGCAAGCAATTGAGTTACAATTTTGAACAATGTGACATGCTTGACATTGTTGAAGCATAAAGTCCAACTGTCCTGAACTTCAAAGTGGACATGGATGGGGACCCATTCTCAACGGGGCTGTAGTGGAGCAGGTTGAGAGCTTCAAGTTCCTTGGTACAGTACATCACTGGGGCCAAGCTTCCTTCCAGCCAGGACCTCTATACCAGGCGGTGTCAGGGGAAGGCCCTAAAAATGGTAAAAGACTCCAGCCACCCTAGTCATAGACTGTTCTCTCTGCTACCGCACGGCAAGCGGTACCGGAGCGCCAAGTCTAGGTCCAAGAAGCTTCTAAACAGCTTCTACCCCCAAGCTATAAGACTCCTGAACATCTAATCAAATTGCCCCCCCCCCCCCCCCCCCCCCCCCTTACGCTGCTGCTACTCTGTTTATTATCTATGCATAGTCACTTTAATAACTCTACCTACATGTACATATTACCTTGACTAACCGGTGCCCCCGCACATTGACTCTGTACCGGTACCCCCTGTATATAGCCTCGCTATTGTTATTTTTACTGCTGCTTTTTAATTATTTGTTACTTTTATTTCGTATTATTTTATAAGAAATAATTTTTTGGTATTCTTTCTTAAAGCTGCATTGTTGGTTAAGGGCTTGTAAGTAAGCATTTCACTGTAAGGTCTACACCTGTTGTATTCGGCGCATGTGACAAATAAAATTTGATTTGATTTGAGGGTTAACTGTGCAGTGTTATGCCAAGTCTTAGCCGTTATGTTAACTGCTTAGTGATCGAATGGACTGGCTCGAACCAAGAGTGTTGTTTGAAGAGTGGGAGAGCGACAGAGGGAGGGGAAAAGAGAAGGGGAAAGAGGAGAATAGAGGAAAAGGGGAGGTATACCTACTTTTCACTGTTTGCAAATGAACAAGAGTCAACTGTAGTGTATTTATATGTATATATTGTGTTGATTTATCTCCTGTTCCATTAAGTTTAAACAGACGTTACCGACTACTAGAGCGCCTCAACTCTAAACAGCATGCAAAGACCAAGAGAAACAAAGTCGCATAAGGAATATGCTTGCTGCATACACCTCACTGTTGATGTGGCGAAGAGATGTGGGCTGTTTTTGTGAAACCGCTCTAGGTTAAGCTGCGGATAGAAGTCTACCTGTTACTCCCCCCATGCACACACACACCAACACACACTTGTATACACTCTCACACTCAAAACAGCTCTTAAAAACTTGCCGGGAGAATTAGTTAGCAGAGTGAAAAGTTAGTAAAACTCTCTCTCGATTTAGACCAGATATGCTTGTGCACACCACGTCATGCTCTAGCAAAACTTTTTTCTTCTTTTTTTTAACTAGAGGAACAAGAGGGGGAGAGCGAGAGAAACGATTGGACCCTGTAAATGTTGTTCTGGCTTGTGATTGGTGAAAGCCTGTTGCTAGGCTTATGTCATTGTGCGAGAGGGAGTTTTTTGCTTCCTCTCTCTGCTAAGTGAAAGGTCAGGTTTGAACTGGTTAGGAGGACTTCTACCACTTGTTGAACATCCCCACAGTTTTGTGATTTTATCTGGCTCTCTTCTATTTTCATCGCATGTTAAAAACACTGCAGCCACTTCTGGTGCACAGCTTTAGCTTTTGGCTTCTGCTCTCTCTTGTTTTCTCTCTTTTAATCCCTTTGACTTTTTATCCTCTTTTATTGGTAAAAGCAGCTAAAAAGTTTGCAGTTAAAAGAAAAATAATTGCTTTGTTTGCCTCAATTGCCTTCTTCTAAACTTTTCTTGAACTTTTTTCCCAAAATGCCCAAGTGTTTAAATTCTGTTTTACAGACTCTCATAAAAATATATTTATAAAGTAGGTACAAAAGCACACACTATCATGTTACATATTTACATGTATTATACACGTTAATTATATTGTAATTACTTTTGTCAAAGTTAAGGGAATGATACTGAAATTCCTCTCTACATTCTCTTATGGAGTTGTTGTCCTTTTATGTCAATTGAATTTCAAGTTGAGAGGGATCAACATTTCAGAATTCAAACCGGAGCTTGAACTTGTGACTGGACTGATGTTTGCTCTTGTTGTTTGTTTATTCAGGGCCCACTCGAATCTTAATTACTTTTATCCTGTCTATCAAATGTTCTAAAGATCTGAAACCAGTTGCATGGAGGTGATAGTTAATAGTTTACCAACAGATCTCTAACTTACTCCTCTCAAACCCCAGCCACCCCACCCAAATATGTCATTTTTCTATGTCTACCATTGTTTGTCTTATCTGTAGATTAGAATATATTCCTAGTCAGTTGTAACAATAGGATATTAACTAATGTGTGGCAATGCTCTCCACGAGTCCGTTATCTGCTCGTCTGTGTGTGTGTGTGTGTGTGTGTGTGTGTGTGTGTGTGTGTGTGTGGTGTGTGTGTGTGTGTGTGTGTGTGTGTGTGTGTGTGTGTGTGTGTGTGTGTGTGTGTGTGTGTGTGTGTGGTGTGTGTGTGTGTAATGTAATGTTGGTTGGTTTGATAGAACTGTTATGACATAATGTTACAGACGCCACCAGGTCTCACAGCTTGAGACAATCAGCTAATGATGTCAAACCCTCCACACTGGTCAATTAGACCGCTCATTCAGACTCAATGAAGAGAGGACCACGTCCAATCCCTCTATCCCTTCTTCTCAGAGGCTCACTATCTGCACTGTGAGAACCAGCTTGAGAAGGATCCGTGCAGGATCTCCACAAGCCTCCCACTGCATTGTAACTTATCATCATGATGTTATCATAACCCCCTCCTACCACCGCCCCCCCTCTGCTCCTGGCTGGTGGTACAGTAAAGCCCTCAGAGTGGGTGGTGGTGTGGTAGAGGTGTGTATGCCCCTGACAATAGTGTTTGGCCCTGTCCCCTGTCCGGGGGGCTGGGGGCCAGTCGGGCCCCTAGCCTAACTTTTTTTATATGAAAAGGGGATGTCGTAAGCCGAACGCTGACCAGGCCTCTTCTGCTCTGCAACTTTGCTGAGCGATGGGGCTCACACACACACACACACACACACACACACACACACACACACACACACACACTGTGCTCACTCTGCTGCTGTTGCTACTTCTGCTGGGAAACTAGAGTGCTGACTCCAGCCCAGGGCATGTTTACCCTGGCCCCCGCCCCTCCCTGGGGGTAACAGGAGTGAGGGAGGGGGAGAGAGGGGCACTGTCACACAATGAACCTGCAAAATGGTGTGCTATGTATCTAGCCAGGTCCATATCAACCAGGCAGCCAGGCTCTTAAACAGAGTGTTAGATTGGAGCTTGGTTCGGATCAACCAGGCAGACAGGCTCTTAAACAGAGTGTTAGATTGGAGCTTGGTTCGGATCAACCAGGCAGACAGGCTCTTAAACAGAGTGTTGGATTGGAGCTTGGTTCGGATCAACCAGGCAGCCAGGCTCTTAAACAGAGTGTTAGATTGGAGCTTGGTTCGGATCAACCAGGCAGCCAGGCTCTTAAACAGAGTGTTAGATTGGAGCTTGGTTCGGATCAACCAGGCAGACAGGCTCTTAAACAGAGTGTTGGATTGGAGCTTGGTTCGGATCAACCAGGCAGCCAGGCTCTTAAACAGAGACTGTTGGATTGGAGCTTGGTTCAGATCAACCAGGCAGCCAGGCTCTTAAACAGAGACCGTTGGATTGGAGCTTGGTTCAGATCGACTTGGTGATAAACAACGACCTGGGCTCCCTGACACCACCCCTCCTTGTTACCTAATATAACTTGTTTTAGCAGGTTTTTATTTGGTTCTTCCACCCGCCACGCCTGCCTTTTTTTACCACCACTAATGTATAATACAATAGTCAGATACTCAGATTTCATGCCACTGCAGTACCTTTTTTGAGTAGTCATATCCGGACCAAAGCTCCAACCATCTGACAAAACAGCATTATAAAATGACTCATAAATGACTTGTGAATATTCAGGGTACAGTACAGTAAAAAACACCAACACAGGTGACTAATGACATAATCCGCTTCAGGCTGTGTCTATATTGACAGGCTCTATGATAGACCCAGAAAGAGAACCATTGCCTGTCTTTATCTAGACTTCCTGGTAGGTTTGTTTGAGGTGCTATTCAGCCCCGTCTGATTTGGTTTAGGGCTGCTTTATCTGAACTGATAGTCTATGTGGAAAGCTGGAATTGATTTGCTATTGTTTGTAGACTTGTACTGTCCAGGTATCTTACTGGACAGTTGTGATGCTCCCACTCCCTTTTATAACACAGAGTAAAGAACTTGTGGTTGAATTATCTTTTCTCAGTTGTTGTTTTCAATGTACATGACATAGATAGCAGGTGCATGCAAACGTCCATGTAGCAGCCGGTCAGCTGTGGGTGGAAAGGGTGAAAAATATACTTGCAAAGTGAATGACATGTTTGTCATAATTGATTTATGGATCATGTAATAAAGCCATAATAAGCAGGCAGTTGGTCGAAGTGACCTTTTCATGCCACATTGTGCGCTGGAGAGTGATGGCCAGTCGATATCCATTGCCAATCAGCAGGGAACAAAATGAGAGACAGATTGATTATGTTTTCTTGGGGACTCGCTCTGTGCTCAAGTTAAGACGCTCTCCTCTCTGCACAGTTCCCTCCTCCTTACTCTGTCCCCTTATATCTGATTGGATGAATGGAGGTTGTTTTCGCCATTGAATTGGCTTATGCGCATGTCAGTGAACCAGGGCTCCGTTTATTTACGGAGTGTATCTGCAGAGAGAGAACGGTATTCTGCTGTAGGACAGCAACGGCTGACGACTGAGCACTTAATTAACCAGTCCCACAAGGAACAAAGCGAGAAAGGAAACAGCCATTTAAAAAAATACCTTTATATTTGTATACCTGAAAACACAAGATCGCGCTGAGAACACATTATGAAGCACGCAACTGCAGCAACAGAAACCATTGAAAATAATTCATTTACAGTGACAGACTTATTTAAAATATGCACTCACTGTGAACGGCTAAGCAAAAAGGTAAGAGAAAAATAAAGTAAAGGGGAAATTATTTTGACAACGAATGCATGTTTTTGACAGCTCGTGCTTTCGTTTTGGAAATTAGATTTGAATTTGTGACAAGACAAGTTCATGTCCTTTTAGTCACATATTTCTGTGGCTGCGAGCGAAGGAACTGCAGTGCAGTCTTTTCTTTTGTGTCCAACCTTGTTTACGCGTTTTAGGAGTTTACTTTCTTTCCAGGTCTTTGTCATCCTACCACCAACTCTATAGACTGTTCGGTATATGCTTCTAAAAAATGTTGGTTGGTGTCTTTGAATGCAAGACAGTATTGTCGCTTTCAAGTAAGCTTTGGCCCTCAGTTCTAGGTCATTCATTCCGCCAGCTCATTGTGCTGCGCTGCACAGAGGGACAGGAACAGAGCTGACAGTCTCGAGCCCTAGCCTATAGGACATGTCGCAATCAGCGACTTTTTTCAAGTTGACAGTTGGCTGTTTCTATGTTGAGATGTGAATCATATCTTGAATTCGTTTATTTAACTACCTTTAGTATGCGAGCCTTTCTGATCAATAACATTGTGTCAAATGATGTATCAAGGGTATTACTTGTATCAAGTGTGTATCAAACTGCAAATGGTTACATAGCTACTGTAAGCATAATACATTGTATCTATCAAGCGTTCTTTTTGTGTATTTTGACAGTTTTGTGGCATTTCTAGAGACTGCCATTTTGGCTTGCTGCAGCAAAATTCTGAACAAAGCGAGTTGGATTTATTTCTGCACAGGCTGCGCTTGCAACGCGCCAACCCGACTATATAATGAATATGTGGGCTAGTGGAGGGGGTGAGAGAGATGTGATATCCCACAGGATGTACAATATTACACGGTCAGGGCTCGCAGCCAAAATGGTACGAAAAATCGCAATTAGGGTTTTCCCCCTGCCCCTTTAGCTTTTGACGAAAATGATCACTGTTGGATTTTGGCTCTTGCAGAACTATAATATGTGTTTTCTGTACTCTTTTGTCTTGCAGGACTTAGGCGTTCGGATCCCAAGATCCCTGGGAAATGGACCAAGTAGATTTATCCCTGAAAAAGAGGTAAGGAGAACAACAACTTTTTTTTATTTGGGCCTCAAAACATTTACTTGTTAGTTTATCTATGCAAATTATGCATCACTTTGACTTATTATTACATATATTTAGTTATCTTATACCAATAAGTGAATTACATTAAATTCACTTTCTCTATCACGTCAGATCCTTCAAGTCAGTAAAGTAGACCCCAGGACACAATCGATATTCGAGGACGCATTTGCAGCACTGGGTCGCCTTGACAACATCTCTTTGGTGATGGGCTTCCACCCACAGTACCTGGAGAGCTTCCTGAGGACACAGCACTACCTGCTGCAGATGGACGGGCCCTTATCCCTGCACTACCGCCACTACATAGGCATCATGGTGAGACCCCTTACCCCCTACTCCAACCTCTACACTATCACAGTATAGCCACTACAGAGGCATCATGGTGAGACCCCTTACCCCCTACTCCAACCTCTACACTATCACAGTATAGCCACTACATAGGCATCATGGTGAGACCCCTTACCCCCTACTCCAACCTCTACACTATCACAGTATAGCCACTACAGAGGCATCATGGTGAGACCCCTTACCCCCTACTCCAACCTCTACACTATCACAGTATAGCCACTACATAGGCATCATGGTGAGACCCCTTACCCCCTACTCCAACCTCTACACTATCACAGTATAGCCACTACAGAGGCATCATGGTGAGACCCCTTACCCCCTACTCCAACCTCTACACTATCACAGTATAGCCACTACATAGGCATCATGGTGAGACCCCTAACCCCCTACACTAACCTCTACACTATCACAGTATAGCCACTACATAGGCATCATGGTGAGACCCCTTACCCCCTACTCCAACCTCTACACTATCACAGTATAGCCACTACAGAGGCATCATGGTGAGACCCCTTACCCCCTACTCCAACCTCTACACTATCACAGTATAGCCACTACATAGGCATCATGGTGAGACCCCTTACCCCCTACTCCAACCTCTACACTATCACAGTATAGCCACTACATAGGCATCATGGTGAGGCCCCTAACCCCCTACACTAACCTCTACACTATCACAGTATAGCCACTACATAGGCATGGTCAAGCCCTCTATATCTCTCTACCTACAGAGAGTACGTTTTGAATTCTTGGACACTCACCTATAGACTGTACATTTAGACTTCTTGGACAGTCTGGTAATTGTCTCCCTTCCCTCCCAGGCTGCGGCCAGACACCAGTGCTCCTACCTGGTCAACCTGCACGTCAACGACTTCCTCCAGGTGGGAGGGGACTCCAAGTGGCTGAATGGCCTGGACGGAGCCCCACAGAAGCTGCAGGCCCTCGGGGAGCTCAACAAGATCCTGGCCCACCGGCCCTGGCTCCTCACCAAGGCACACATCGAGGTACGGGGGGGGACCTGTGACACACACACACACACCCCCAGGACTGGACATAGGGACAGGTCAGGGTTATGTAACAGAGACTGAGATCATGGGATGAGGCATGGCTAGAGTTACACAGCTGCTAACTTGGCAGGGTTAGTTATATAACTTAATCAAATCAATCAAATGTTATTGGCCACATGCGCCGAATACAACAGGTGCAGACATTACAGTGAAATGCTTACTTACAGCCCTTAACCAACAGTGCATTTATTTTTAATAAAAAAGTAGAATAAAACAACAAAAAAGTGTTGAGGAAAAAAAGAGCAGAAGTAAAATAAAATAACAGTAGGGAGGCTATATATACAGGGGGGTACCGGTGCAGAGTCAATGTGCGGGGGCACCGGCTAGTTGAGGTAGTTGAAGTAATATGTACATGCGGGAGAGAGGATTGGATGTGTAGAGAAGAAGAAGGGAGGGGATGGGTAGAGAGAAGAAAACAATTGGAAATGGATGGATAGAAAGTGAGGGACAGGAAAAGAAAAGATTCCACCCAAAGGAAACTACTGATTGACTGACGTATCAACTCTCTCTTCTCCTCCCTCTCCAGCACTTGCTGAAGGCTGAAGAACATAGCTGGTCCCTGGCTGAGCTGATCCATGCTGTGGTGCTCCTAACGAACTACCACTCTCTGGCCTCCTTTACCTTTGGCTGTGGCATCACCCCAGAGATCCACAGTAACGGGGGGCACACCTTCAGACCCCCCTCCCTCAGCCAGTACTGCGTCTGCGACATCGCCAACGGCAATGGGCACGGCCACCTGGAGGAGAGGAGAGGCAACCACCAGGTGAGCGGGAGGAGGAGAGTCAGGAGTGTGTGAGAGAGTGAGAGAAGCTGTGGGTTTGTTAGTCACTCGGCTTTGACACCGGTGTGGTTGTGAGCGCAGTGGTTCTTGTGGTTGTGGTCGCCCTGTGTATGACCAGTGCCCTGACCCAGAACGTGTGTGTGTTCCTGTCTAGGTGTCGGAGGTGTCTGGTGAGGTGGAGGTGCTGATGGAGAGGATGAAGCAGCTTCAGGAGTGTCGTGATGAAGAGGAAGCCAGTCAGGAGGAGATGGCCACACGCTTCGAGAGGGAGAAGACAGAGAGCATGCTGGTGGCCACGGCAGAGGACGAGGAGTGTGTGCCGTCCAGAGACGTGTCCAGGCACTTTGAAGACCCCAGCTACGGCTACAAGGACTTCTCCAGGAGAGGAGAACATGTACCCACCTTCAGAGTGCAGGTATATAATACACACACACACACACACACACCCCTTCACTTATGGAAAAACAGGGAGAGACAGAAAGAGAGCAAAAGAGAGAGAAAGTGAAGAGTTTTCTCAATAGCTTCAAAATTATATTTTCTAAATGTTACGATGTTGCACTATGGAGTATCTATCTGATTGATCAATTGATATCCAGACATTCTGATTAACCCCTTGCTTTCCTCTCCTCTCTTCAGGACTACAGTTGGGAGGACCACGGCTACTCCCTGGTGAACCGTCTGTACCCTGACGTTGGTCAGCTGTTGGATGAGAAGTTCCAGATGGCCTACAACCTGACCTACAACACCATGGCCATGCACAAAGACGTGGACACCTCCATGCTCCGCAGGGCTATCTGGAACTACATCCACTGCATGTTCGGCATCAGGTACACCACTCACTGGGTCTATATAAGCACAAATATACTAATGCAAATGTATATATTTCATGATGTAATATGCTAGATTCAATCAAAAGAAGAATGTTATCACGTGTTTAATACGTTGACAAAGTGCAGTAATTTCATACAGTAATGTAGTTACTAAAGAAATAACTGTATTCATCAGTAGCTCTGACCGTTCTCCCTCTGTGTCTCTCAGGTATGACGACTATGACTACGGGGAGATCAACCAGCTGTTGGACCGCAGCTTTAAGGTCTATATTAAGACCATGGTGTGCAGCCCGGAGAAGACCACCAAACGAATGTACGAGAGCTTCTGGAGACAGTTCCAGCACTCCGAGAAGGTGAGGGGACAACTTTTCTATTTTATATCACTTATTAGTCCATGGGTTTATGTTTCTATTGGTAGCATTTAACGTTTCTATATAGTTTCCTCTCATAGTTCTTGATCTGTGTGAATGGAGTAATGTTGTGTAGCAGTGTTGTAACATATCCTTCTCTCTTTCAGGTCCATGTCAATCTGCTTCTTATGGAAGCGCGCATGCAGGCAGAACTGCTCTACGCTCTGAGAGCGATCACCCGTTACATGACATGAAGTGCTTTTGGTGTTTTGTTGTTTTTTACTGTCATTGTCTTTGCTGTCGTGGGACACATCAGAAGAAAAAAACCAACGGGGGAAAACAGAAAAGAGAGGGAAGGACTGAAAGGAGCCCCGTCCGTCGCCACGAAGCTCGTCCTCGTGATGTGGAAAGAAAAACGAACAGAACAAATGAAAGAGAGAACAAAAAAAGCAAATGAAAGAAGAAGACAAAAAAAGAACTGCAAAAAGAAAAGTCATCTCAACCCACCTGTGGAAAGATAAACTGTCCTCTTTACCCGCGGTGCCAAAACTCACCATGAGGGGCAGCCTGGAGCAGACACTCTGCTGGGCCAGAGGAAAGAAACAGAAGACACAGGCCACCCTTCCAGTATTCCAATACACCTCAGTGGTTGATGTCAATAGAATCTCCGTATAGTGTGAAAACCCACAGTAAATCTCCAGAAAGCAAAGCAGTGCACCAGTCTGCACTCGATAATATAGTCACTGTTTTTTGTTTAATATATTTTTATTTAGGGGTTTTTTTGTATTAAGAGAAGTTGTTATCATCATGTGGTTGTTGTTATTGCGGTAACTGGAGATGATGGAAGCATTATTCGGGCTGTGTGTTAAAAGTGTGCCTGGTTATGTCATACAGCACATCATAGGGTGTAGAGGTGCTGCCTGATACTGCTGCTCATGTAAGCAGGGGGTCATATTGACCCTCCAACCTCCCCCACCCCCTAAGAACCCACAGCATTACCCCCCCTCCCCTTCCCCAATACCCCCCACCCTGAAACTGTTTGTGTAAGCTAACCCAAGAAGTGTGTGAAAACGGAGAGGTGTTGGAAAAACTAAAAATGAATGCTGTCTGAGCCCTATTTAGTTAGACTGTACGTATGATGAACCCATTCTGTATGAGAGACGGCTGTCTGTGACAAATATCATGTGTGGATATGTGTGTGTGACTCCGTGTGTTTTACAGAAAATATCAAGAAAAAAAGTATGTTGAAATTTCAAGCTAAAAAAAAAAAGAAGTAAGAAAGCGAGACAATTTGAAGGATGAAACTTCTTGCCTCTGCTGTATCTCCTTCCGTGTGGTGAATGTTACATGTATTAGTTTTGTTTCTGGTAAGAAGCTTTGTCCTGTAAGGAAAAAAACATGAAAGCTAAAACAAAAAGAAAGAAAAAAATATAAAAACTGGTCTTCCACGGGATTGGGGATTGGCTTCCGGTTGTCATAACAATGACCTCACCTGTCTGTCTTCCGCTCGCCCTTTGACCCTGGCCTGGGCATCCTAACACTTTCAAAGCTTTGGATTGTGAATTGTACCAGTAAATAAATACCTCTTATTTTTTCTCTACTATCACATTAAGAAGTGCTCTTTGGCGAGCAGAATGACTCTTTATATCTCTGGGTCGCTTGGCTTCCATTCGTAGGGAGCCCGGTTGGTCCTCACTGGACCGACTGGCCGATACGGTCCGACCGCAGTCGGTCATAGCTGTGCTTGTTCCCTCTGTGGGAGCCTAACCAGTGCAAAAGCACCTTTTTTTTAACCAGGGGTGGACCCTCCACCCTTTTATTTTTGTTGACTAAAAAACAGTAAAATACTGCATTCTACTGAGGGTGGATTGAGACAGTTGGACAGTTGAATGATTGTTTGACATTAAGAGGAGGAGGAAGATGATGATTATGGAATGGTACATTATTTGGGGGTGGTTGTAAGAGGAAGGGTAGAGGTTTTATCAAACTTCTGATTGATGTCAGTTACTGAAACCTTTTATATAAAAAAAATGATGAAATATCAAAGAAAAAAATAAAATATGTTCTTGAATCATTGTATTATTATTTTTGTTTTCTCCCTAGAACTGTTGCTGCTGCATCAAAAGTATATGATTATTACATAGAAATGATCTACACATTGAATCATTCATTCAATAAGCCCACCAAATTGTAGTCACAGTACACATACATGTATTATCTGCAACCTTAACAATAAACATCTGATCTCCATCAATTGCACTTTACAATATGAGATCAGTAATGATATAGGAAACATTTGGCTATTACAGTTACATTTTGCACAGTTAATGCAATAATGACTCCCACACATAAGGAAATGTTTCATACAACAGCATAAAACTGTTGGGTGTGTGAGTCTAAATCCTTTAGGTTTCCTGTGTTGTGTGGACCCACTGGTTCAATGTCTAGTTTTTATTTACATTTGTATTAGTTGTCAACTAACGTGAAGTCAACGTGAAAAAAAGGTCACCATGTCATTGGATTTAGGTTAAAAGTTATGTGAAAAAAATGCTAAATTCCCTTATGTTGATTGCTTTTTTCCACTTTGATTCAATGTCATCACATTTCATTTTTTTTGTGGAAATTACGTGGATCCGTTGATTCAACAAATTTTGTCCAGTGGGGAGTCAGTCCTCCCATTCATACTACACTGAACTCTGTGGTTCAATGTTTGGTTGATTTAACGTTATGACCCAAAATGGTCCTTCCTTGTCCAGTCAAGGTTGAATGTTACTCCCACACCTGTTGTGCTAAAACACTTGGACCTGTCTGTAATGTGCAGTGAGATGAGGGGAAATTCCTTCTAGGATCACCTTTGAGCTATGTTCTGCTCACCTTCCTGTCCTGTTCCGTTCTCCCTGGGAAAACTCCCTGGCATCCCTGTGGATGACTGGCTGTAGACTGAATTCTTTGGACGTTCTGGGACTTTTCTATTAAGGGCAAACAGAGGGTGAATTGGTTCATTCAATCACCAGTAGTGTATCTCAACTGATACAGAACTGAACAGCCTCTATTTTTGACCGACTCTCATTTCCCTATGACAATCTGAACACGATGAGACTATTAAACAATTGATGCGCTTAATACCTCCACGATCAGCCAGCTAACTAACTTTCATATCAACCCAGACGGACAGGTATCTATCATGTGGAGAACAATGTGTGTCATTAACTATGGCTGATGAAACGCTATTGGGTTGGTTGTGGTCACTGTATTATTGCTGGATACGTTTTTTGTTTTTTTTACAGAGGTGCCGTTTTTGTATTTCTTATTTGATGTAATGATAAAAACACTGTTCTTGACTAACTTTGCAGCAGCACTGCCTGGCCTGGTCCATATCTGTGTAACAATAAAGGCTTTGAGAAAGAGAACGTTTACCACACTTTCTGTTTTGTTGTGGTTTATTATGTACAGCAGTTCACAGATTAACAATGTCTTCACATTTGATCACCACAGAGAGGCAATTTACAATTATGGTCAGATGTTAAGAAGAGTAGCTTATGATAATAAAATCACATTAACCATTTACAGTGTGGTACAACATAAAAACTATCATTTCGGTTATTTAAAGGGAAAACAGTTTGTCATACAAGTCAGAGGCTCAAAGATCCGTATGTCATAGGTAGGGCCAAGAGTGTTTCCTGACTATGTGACCTGACTAGGAAAACACTCTAAACCTAAGTTTTCCCTAGTCAGGGCCTTAGTAATAGTATTAGAGAGAGTGGTAGAACCTGAAGGTAAAGTGCATTGAGTACAGACTGACACTGGAGAAGAGATGGTCTCTAGAGAGTAACTCTAGAGAGGTGACAGTGTTACAGGACGCTAGCAGGGCACAACAAGAAGAAAGGAGAGGACATTGCAAAGATGTCACACTTTAGGGAGGGAGACTGAGTAGATGGCTGACAGTCTGAGTCTGGATCCTGTCCCTCAGCCTCTGAGCCACAGGCAGGAACTCCAACTCCCAGCATGCTCGGTGAAAGTCCCTCATGTCATCACCAGAGGTCCACTGCAGTGCTTCCTCCTCGTCTGAGAGAAAAGAGAGCTTCATCAAAATGATTCAACATCAAAAACAGAGCAAAGTATTTGTTTACAGCAGTAGACCAAAGCATAGAATAACTATAAAAGCTTATTCATGAAACTTTCAGTAAAATAACCTGTTATAAATAATTTGGTATCCGTACCTAGGTACAGTGTAAGGACCTCAAGCAGTGCCTCTCTACTGGTTGTCCAGTGTGGAGGGGGAGTCTGTCTCCATCCCTGTCCCCGTCCCCCCCTCTTCAGTGAGGTTCCACAGGGCCTGACACACCAGGCCAGCCAGCTGCCAAGCCAGCTGCCAGTCCACTGGTCCAAAGTCCCTCACTGTCTGACAGCCTGCACACAGGCGCACACACGTCACATGACGGGTGAGAGGGGTTTAAGTCACATTGGATTCACACACTGCCTTACATTAGCTCTCCTTGAGTGCATCTGCTCCTAAAGGTGGGCTGATAAAACTCCGGACAGTTCTAATTTTCTCTCACGGGGTGTCAATAGAGCATGAACACCTTTGTTTTATATGATGACGTGGCGAACCTCCCTGGACTGGGACAGGTTTCCAAACACACACATGGCCTCCATAATCCCATCCATACTGGAGATGAGGAGCAGCTTCAACAGCACGAGAGAGAGAGACAGAGAGAGAGCGAGAGAGAGAAGGAAAATATATAGCTTGTTCGGTCATATTATCGCAAAGATATTGCGGTTGTACTGTCAACCGGTGCCTGCGTCATAGTGTTTGTTTCGTTTCTGGATCTGACTGGAAAGGCCCTTTGGTGTGGTGGAGAATATCTCCTCCTCTCCCTGTCTCTGTCTCTAATGTAAAGCAGCATGCATGACCTGTCATAAACTGTGATCAAAACAGGATATCATTGAGCTGCCTGATTTGGGTCCACAGCCAGTGCAGAGAGGAGCGAGAAGAAAACGTCTGTCTGTTTCAGTTTCAAGTTTGATTTGTCACATGCACCAGTACAGTGAAATGCTTAACCTGCTAGCTCTACCCAACAGAGCAGTAATCAATATACACGTTTTCTGTAAGTCTTCACAAGGTTTTCACACACTGTTGCTGGTATTTTGGCCCATTCCTCCATGCAGATCTCCTCTAGAGCAGTGATGTTTTGAGGCTGTCGCTGGGCAACACGGACTTTCAACTCCCTCCAAAGATTTTCTATGGGGTTGAGATCTGGAGACTGGCTAGGCCACTCCAGGACCTTGAAATGCTTCTTACGAAGCCACTCCTTCGTTGCCCGGGCGGTGTGTTTGGGATCATTGTCATGCTGAAAGACCCAGCCACATTTCATCTTCAATGCCCTTGCTGATGGAAGGAGGTTTTCACTCAAAATCTCACGATACATGGCCCCATTCATTCTTTCCTTTACACGGATCAGTCGTCCTGGTCCCTTTGCAGAAAAACAGCCCCAAAGCATGATGTTTCCACCCCCATGCTTCACAGTAGGTATGGTGTTCTTTGGATGCAACTCAGCATTCTTTGTCCTCCAAACACGACGAGTTGAGTTTTTACCAAAAAGTTATATTTTGGTTTCATCTGACCATATGACATTCTCCCAATCCTCTTCTGGATCATCCAAATGCACTCTAGCAAACTTCAGACGGGCCTGGACATGTACTGGCTTAAGCAGGGGGACACGTCTGGCACTGCAGGATTTGAGTCCCTGGCGGCATAGTGTGTTACTGATGGTAGGCTTTGTTACTTTGGTCCCAGCTCTCTGCAGGTCATTCACTAGGTCCCCCCGTGTGGTTCTGGGATTTTTGCTCACCGTTCTTGTGATCATTTTGACCCCACGGGGTGAGATCTTGCGTGGAGCCCCAGATCGAGGGAGATTATCAGTGGTCTTGTATGTCTTCCATTTCCTAATAATTGCTCCCACAGTTGATTTCTTCAAACCAAGCTGCTTACCTATTGCAGATTCAGTCTTCCCAGCCTGGTGCAGGTCTACAATTTTGTTTCTGGTGTCCTTTGACAGCTCTTTGGTCTTGGCCATAGTGGAGTTTGGAGTGTGACTGTTTGAGGTTGTGGACAGGTGTCTTTTATACTGATAACAAGTTCAAACAGGTGCCATTAATACAGGTAACGAGTGGAGGACAGAGGAGCCTCTTAAAGAAGAAGTTACAGGTCTGTGAGAGCCAGAAATCTTGCTTGTTTGTAGGTGACCAAATACTTATTTTCCACCATAATTTGCAAATAAATTCATAAAAAATCCTACAATGTGATTTTCTGGAATTTTTTTTCCTCAATTTGTCTGTCATAGTTGACGTGTACCTATGATGAAAATTACAGGCCTCTCTCATCTTTTTAAGCGGGAGAACTTGCACAATTGGTGGCTGACTAAATACTTTTTTCCCCCACTGAAAAAATAGTAGAACTAATAACAAAAAAAACAGGAGAAATAATACAGGACGCTATGTACAGGGTCAGTGCCACATTTACAATGTGCAGGGATACTGGAGTATTCAGGTAGATATGTACATGTGGGCAGGGAGGAAGAGAAAGTGACTGGTAGCAGGAGAAATAATAATAATAATAATAATAATAATAGTAAACAGTGTGTGTGGTTATGAGTGTGTGTGTGTGTGTGTGTGTGTGCAAAGGTGTCAGCGTAGGCGTGATACAGTGAGTGTACAAACACACTTCCATGACCTGGACTGACCAGGTGAATCCAGGTGAAAGCTATGATCCCTTATTGATGTCACTTTTTAAATCCACTTCAAATCAAATCAAATCAAAATGTATTTGTCACATGCACCGAATACAACAGGTGTAGACCTTACCGTGAAATGCTTACTTACAAACCCTTAACCAACAATGCAGTTCAAAATATTTACTAAATAAACTAAAGTAAAAAATCAAATAAAAAGTAACACAATAAAATTACATAACAATAACGAGGCTATATACAGGGGGTACCAGTACCGAGTCAATGTGCGGGGGTACAGGTTATTTGAGGTAATTTGTACATGTAGGTAGGGGTAAAGTGACTATGCATAGATAATAAACAGAGAGTAGCAGCAGTGTAAAACAAAGGGGGGGGGGGGGGGTCAATGTAAATAGTCCGGGGGGGGGGGGGTCAATGTAAATAGTCCAGGTGGCCATTTGATTAATTGTTCAGCAGTCTTATAGCTTGGGGGTAGAAGCTGTTAAGGAGCTTTTTGGACCTAGACTTGGTGCTCCGGTACCGCTTACCGTGCTGTAGCAGAGAGAACAGTCTATGACTTGGGTGACGAGTCTTTGACAATTTTATGGGCCTTCCTCTGACACCGCCTAGTATATCGGTCCTGGATGGCGAGCAGTTGCCATACCAGGCAGTGATGCAACCGGTCAGGATGCTCTTGATGGTGCAGCTGTAGAACAATCAGTGTAGATGAAGGGGAGGACAGGTTGAAGAAGGATTTCAAAGCCTTGAGACAATTGCGACATGGATTGTGTGTGTGTGCCATTCAAAGAGTGAATGGGCAAGACAAAATATTTAAGTGCCTTTGAATGGGGTAGTAGGTGCCAGGAGCACCGGTTTGAGTGTGTCAAGAACTGCAACGCTGCTGGGTTTTTCACACTCAACAGTTTCCGATGTGTATCAAAAATGGTCCACCACCCAAAGGACATCCAGACAATTTGACATAACTGTGGGAAGCATTGGAGTAAACATGGGCCAGCATCCCTGTGGAATGCTATCGACACCTTGTAGAGTCCATGCCCCGACGAATTGAGGCTGTTCTGAGGGCAAAAGGGGGTGCAACTCAATATTAGGAAGGTCTTCTTAATGTTCTGTACACTCAGTGTACATATAAACAGGGCTGAAATGTGACTGGTAGCAGGAATATATAAAAACGTATGTTAATATACTAATGGTAAACCGGAGTAATATTGACTAGTAGCAGGATAAATAGATAGATATTAATGGTAATTACAATCAATAACCAATGAACAGCAGCGTAGGTGTGAGGGGGAGCAGTAGTCTGTCTGTCTGTCTGTCTCTGTGTCTGCCTGTCTCCCCTCTCTCTCTCTCTCTTTCTCTCTCTCAGTAACAGTACACTACAGTGTGTGGGAGGGAGGCGGAAGGGAAGAGCTCACAGCTAAAGCTGAGAAACTGAGAATTTCACACCCACCTGAACATGGCCTGTACCAGTCAGTCCTGAAACCATCATTCCAACCACCTAGAAGTTTCTTAAGAAACCAACCAGGCTCTAAAGTGCACAGAACATCCTGTTCTCTCTCTGGCTCTTTCAGACTTCAAAAGGACCCAAATTGAAAAAGGAGGTGCAAAAAAAAAAAAAGAAAAGCTAGAAATTGAAGAACAGAATAGGTGTTAGATGTTTTATCCCCAGCACACAGGAAGCTGTGGTACCAAAGGACTGACTGTACAGAGTTTTACAGTAAAGGCTTTGTACAGTGTGATACGTTTATTGACGGGACATACAAACAGGCACACGTTTCAGAGTAAATCGCCTTCATTAGAGCCTTGGCTGGCCTTGGTTTGTCCTGTCAATAAACTTATCAGATCTATTCAAGTGTGGGCTCTTTGGGTGCACCTTTTTTCAGATGTTCTGAGAACAGTATTGTGACGTTATTAGAACATTTTGGGAACATTATGGGGATGTTATGAGAACATTATGGGACCATCATTTCACCCTTACATTACCCTCAAAGCACTGAAACTCACCCAGTGTGTCCAGCAGGTTGTGTACTAGGTGTGTGCTAGCTGCCAGGGTAGGTCCCACTGCAGGGTGGATGGACATGTTAGCCAGCACCCTAACCAGCTTCACCCGCATGTCCTCCTTCTCCCGCCCCCACACAGGAGCGGTGCAGGGTGTACGGGCGTCCCTGGCTGGAGGTGTGTGGGGTGTGTGTACGGTAAGGGGCCCCCCCTCCCCTGGTAGGTGTTGTAGAGCCCAAGCAGCACGGACACACACCCCTCAGCTGTGAAGAGGTGCTCTCTGGCCTCACTGCTCCGAGACGTTAGGTTACCCAGAGTGAAGAGTAGACGCACCACCAGGTCCTGTGTGGGGGAGAGACAGAGGATCAGGTGTAATGTGTGTGTGTGTGTGTGTGTGTGTGTGTGTGTGTGCGTGCATGCATGCATGTGTGTTATCCACATAAACAAATACCTTGGTGATTACAGAGAGTAATACAGTCATTTCTCCTATCAGATATGACCTGGCATTCGTCATATTTACCGTTTCTCTCCCACCACAACAACAAGGATCGACAAATTACCCAAAAAGGAGAAGAAAACAACCTGTATACCACGTTTGTTTCTTAATCGCACTCTGTCCGTCCCCTAAAGTGTGTGTCACAAACACAGAAACACAGAAACACACACAGAGTTACCCTGGGCCTGGCTGGGCTGACTGGCCAGTGTGGCTGAGATGAACTGGGCTGTAACATACTGTACTGACAAGGTTATGGGGACAAGCTGTCCTGTCAAAGAGTTATTCAGGACACAATGTGATCAACCGTGTGTCTATGTATAATAACAGGGGAATATATGTGTGTCTCCTGTGTGTGTGTGTGTGTGTGTGTGTGTGTGTGTGTGTGTGTGTGTGTTTATTTCCTGGGTGATTAAGAGTCCTCTCTGATTGCCAGAGCCTACCTCCCCACCTCGTCTCCCTAAGGGCAGGATTACTTCCTCAGTTTCTCCTGGGACGCTGATTAATGTCAAAATGCGCGCGCACACACTGCTGTAACTATAATGGGACTTGAAGTACATAAACAACTTCCTGAAGACAGACTTAGTCAATGTACAGTATAAACACTGGGAGTGAATGGGCTCTTTTGCTTCCTATACCACACACACACACACATACAAACACACAGACACATACACACACACACACACACACACACACACACACACAGCGATACACACACAGAGATACACACACAGCGATACACACACAGACAGAGATACACACACAGATAGAGATACACACACAGAGATACACAGGGGGCCCGGCTCACCTGTTTCCGCTGGTGTTTGCTCATCAGTTCTATAAATAGTGTGTAACAGCCAGGGGTCTTGGCCAGAGTAGGAGGACAGTTTACTGGAGGACAGACAGAGGGACAACAAATAACACTGACCAGATTGTCACAGACTGGACTGCTATTGTCACAAAAAAAGAATTGGGTTTATTGGTATTAGTTGTGGAAATAGGAAGTGCTACATGCTTTTAGAATCATGTACTGTCATATAGTGAACTGTTGATTCATATAAGGTTGTATGTGAAATAACAGTTTTGGCTGATGTGGTCGGAAAAAGTATCTGAGCTATCTTTAACTATCACCTCATTTTTTTACACACTAAAAAGTAATGCACAATGTCAAGGAGTGTTGTGAATGGTCTGAGGTCTGTATTGTCCCACTTTCAATGAAACAGTTAAATGTCAGGTGAGATGTTTTAGGTGTGTGTGTGTGTGTGTGTGTGTGTGTGTGTGTGTGTGTGTGTGTGTGTGTGTGTGTGTGTGTGTGTGTGTGTGTGTGTGTGTGTGTGTGGTACAGGTACCTGAATAACCTGGCGATGTTGGTACAGATATCTTGGTCTCCGTGGTGATGGTGCAGCGCCTAGCACAGTTTGGTCAGGGCACGGTGGGAGACGAAGTGGGGGCGGGACTCTGGGAGGTCAGCCAGATTCCTCAGGGTCGCTGTCAACTGCAGGGGTCGGAGGTTAGAAGAGAAGATGGTGAGAAAGAGAGAAAGAGAGAGAGAGAGAGAGAGAGAGAGAGAGAGAGAGAGAGAGAGAGAGAGAGAGAGGTCGCTATCATGAAGGAAACTGTGATTTCTAACACCACACAAAGCGTTTTCTGCAATTGCGCTGAATGAGAAGAAAACTGGAACATTCTATTACTCTGAGTTCCCTCAGACTGCCAGCAGCATAACAAGCAGCCAGACAGGCCGCCGTGGAGCCTTTCATATCAAATAATCTGTTAACCGCTAACTCAGGATGTTATCTTAATCAGACTGAAGTTGTTAGCAATACAGAGGTGATTTTCTATAGAATTAAACATACTGTACTGTACTGTACTGTGGAGCAGAGCTGTGTATGTTGTGGCCAGAACAGATCAGAACATTATGAAGCAGTAGACTAAAAACATCATTCCTAATAGCAGGAAAGGCAAATTAAAGTTCCCCTCACCAGAACTCTGAGAAGTTCCCTGAAGCTGAATATTTCGCAGTTTGTTCCTTTAATTGTTTTCTGTTTCACATTTTTTACTTCTACTGAGAAGTTAACTGTTCAGTTGTCGAGGAATTTAGCAGAAAGTTGCTCAAGTAACTGCCCTTGACTGATTTGTGATCAGCTCTACCGGGCCTTTACCATAGTGTGCATAACTGATCCTAGATCTGAAGTTCGGGGTAATTTCTACCCCAAGCAACTTGTCTATCTAGACAGACAGGTTGCCCCCCACAATGTACCAATGTTCCGGCTTACAAGCCTGTACGGATACAATGTCAGTTTGGCATAGAGGATCTATGCCACTGCCTCATCCGCTTGTTGCCCACATCCCCCGGACAGAAAATAGTAACTAGCAAGATGGAGATCACAGAGGTTACTTTTAATGAATACATTTCTCAAGTGGCTAGTTTGCATCAACTACCTTCTCTAAAACCAATGTAAAGGTTTTGCCTGCAAACCTTGGTTTTGAATTGTGATGTTCTGGCATGTCTACCTCGTGATTTGTTGGGAGAGTTGTCTGTCTGAAGAGGACCCTCCCCGGACATTTTTTTTCTTCCATTTTCGATGTTACCAAGAGAGTCTGTCATTTCCAAGACTTCCACGCTACCATCTCACCTACAGTGAGGGAAAAAAGTATTTGATCCCCTGCTGATTTTGTACGTTTGCCCACTGACAAAGAAATGATCAGTCTATAATTTTAATGGTAGGTTTATTTGAACAGTGAGAGACAGAATAACAACAAAAAAATCCAGAAAACGCATGTCAAAAATTTTATAAATTGATTTGCATTTTAATGAGGGAAATAAGTATTTGACCCCCTCTCAATCAGAAAGATTTCTGGCTCCCAGGTGTCTTTTATACAGGTAACGAGCTGAGATTAGGAGCACACTCTTAAAGGGAGTGCTCCTAATCTCAGCTTGTTACCTGTATAAAAGACACCTGTCCACAGAAGCAATCAATCAATCAGATTCCAAACTTTCCACCATGGCCAAGACCAAAGACCTCTCCAAGGATGTCAGGGACAAGATTGTAGACCTACACAAGGCTGGAATGGGCTACAAGACCATCACCAAGCAGCTTGGTGAGAAGGTGACAACAGTTGGTGCGATTATTCGCAAATAGAAGAAACACAAAATACCTGTCAATCTCCCTCGGCCTGGGGCTCCATGCAAGATCTCACCTCGTGGAGTTGCAATGATCATGAGAACGGTGAGGAATCAGCCCAGAACTACACGGGAGGATCTTGTCAATGATCTCAAGGCAGCTGGGACCATAGTCACCAAGAAAACAATTGGTAACACACTACGCCGTGAAGGACTGAAATCCTCCAGCGCCCGCAAGGTTCCCCTGCTCAAGAAAGCACATATACAGAGCCGTCTGAAGTTTGCCAATGAACATCTGAATGATTCAGAGGAGAACTGGGTGAAAGTGTTGTGGTCAGATGAGACCAAAATCGAGCTCTTTGGCGTCAACTCAACTCGCCGTGTTTGGAGGAGGAGGAATGCTGCCTATGACCCCAAGAACACCATCCCCACCGTCAAACATGGAGGTGGAAACATTATGCTTTGGGGGTGTTTTTCTGCTAAGGGGACAGGACAACTTCACCGCATCAAAGGGACCGCATTTCTACTGTCAAATCTTGGGTGAGAACCTCCTTCCCTCAGCCAGGGCATTGAAAATGGGTCGTGGATGGGTATTCCAGCATGACAATGACCCAAAACACACGGCCAAGGCAACAAAGGAGTGGCTCAAGAAGAAGCACATTAAGGTCTTGGAGTGGCCTAGCCTGTCTCCAGACCTTAATCACATAGAACATCTGTGGAGGGAGCTGAAGGTTCGAGTTGCCAAACGTCAGCCTCGAAACCTTAATGATTTGGAGAAGATCTGCAAAGAGGAGTGGAACAAAATCCCTCCTGAGATGTGTGCAAACCTGGTGGCCAACTACAAGAAACGTCTGACCTCTGTGATTGCCAACAAGGGTTTTGCCACCAAGTACTAAGTCATGTTTTGCAGAGGGGTCAAATACTTATTTCCCTCATTAAAATGCAAATCAATTCATAACATGTTTGACATGCGTTTTTCTGGATTTTTTTGTTGTTATTCTGTCTCTCACTGTTCAAATAAACCTACCATTAAAATTATAGACTGATCATGTCTTTGTCAGTGGGCAAACATACAAAATCAGCAGGGGATCAAATACTTTTTTCCCTCACTGTATACGAGGATGTGTTCTGCGATGGTGAACTGGGCGTGGTCTGGTCGGGCCAGTGGGTGGAGCCTCTGAATGAGCAGGGTGGCCACACTCACACGGTCCTTGGCCAAAGGGAGCCTGAGGAGGGCGGAGTTCCCTGAGAAGAACTTCAGAGTGCCCACACAGTACAATACAGCCTCCCCAGACACACACACATCCTCACAGTTCAGCACACACAGCAGGCAATCTAGGTGTAATACAAAGTCACACATAACACACTTGTTAAGACACTTCAACCTCAGTCATTACAATGAGCCCGTCCTCCTATAGCTCCTCCACCAGCCGCCACTGATCCTTACAAAGGTAAAGACAAAAACAAACATTCAAACATATATAAGCAACATTATACAATCAGTGTACACACATATTGTACAGTGTGTCAATGTGTTACCTATGATGGAGTTGTTCTGGAAGAGGAGCTCGTTGCTCTCACTGCGGCTGATCTTGAAGATGAGTTTACAGATGTTAAGCAGGTCGTTGCCACTGACGCTCAGCTGAACAACGCAAAGTTATCAGACAATCTACTAACACAGCAGGAACCTTACGCTGTTGCTTTGTACTAATGATGTCTCCCAACAAGGCTAACTAAGGTCTGGTCTGAGAAAGCTACTGTTGTGTCTTAGGGCAGGGAAGAGATGGGAGAAAGAGAACCATCATGATGACATTGATTGTACTCACAGCCAGGGTGAGTTTGGCGAGCTGCAGGTTGAGTTGGGCAGAGTCGAGGTCGATGAGGCAGAACAGCGCTTTGAGAAGCCCAGCCCTACTCCTGCAATGCTGGCCCAGCATGCCTTGCTTGGCCAGGGTGCCATGGAGACGGTCACACGTGTTACACAGCCTCTCCACGGCGTCCTCTGATTCACCTGAGGAGAGTCACATGATTGAGAAGAATGTATATATTTTAAAACTTGTTATAACTTTTTTTGTGCAAATATACCACTGCCATGTATGATTAATGCATATGCAGACAGAGTTATGAGTTATGCACTCATATCTTATGTTAGGATTTGGCCCTCAGTGAATATGCATGATTAACATAATGTACTTTACATAGAGGAAGAGAGAGGGTGGGGCGCTTTTCCTTGTGTTTTCTAGGTAAAATAAATGTTTTTCTTCTGTAGAAAAAAGGCGGCCAACTGCCTCTTTCAGAACCAGAAAGTTTGGCTACACACTCGACTCAACATACTGCAATTTCCCAGCCAATCTGAGAAGTGTTTTATGCATGAGCCAGAAGGTACTTGGTACAATAAATATTTAACATTTATCCTTCAAATGAATTTCCATTAAATTAAAAAAGTGTTTAAATATTTACAGTGGGGGAAAAAAAGTATTTAGTCAGCCACCAATTGTGCAAGTTCTCCCGCTTAAAAGGCCTGTAATTTTCATCATAGGTACATGTCAACTATGACAGACAAATTGAGAAAAAAAAACCCAGAAAATCCCATTGTAGGATTTTTTATGAATTTATTTGCAAATTATGGTGGAAAATAAGTATTTGGTCACCTACAAACAAGCAATATTTCTGGCTCTCACAGACCTGTAACTTCTTCTTTAAGAGGCTCCTCTGTCCTCCACTCGTTACCTGTATTAATGGCACCTGTTTGAACTTGTTATCAGTATAAACGACACCTGTCCACAACCTCAAACAGTCACACTCCAAACTCCACTATGGCCAAGACCAAAGAGCTGTCAAAGGACACCAGAAACAAAATGGTAGACCTGCACCAGGCTGGGAAGACTGAATCTGCAATAGGTAAGCAGCTTGGTTTGAAGAAATCAACTGTGGGAGCAATTATTAGGAAATGGAAGACATACAAGACCACTGATAATCTCCCTCGATCTGGGGCTCCACGCAAGATCTCACCCCGTGGGGTCAAAATGATCACAAGAACGGTGAGCAAAAATCCCAGAACCACACGGGGGGACCTAGTGAATGACCTGCAGAGAGCTGGGACCAAAGTAACAAAGCCTACCATCAGTAACACACTACGCCACCAGGGACTCAAATCCTGCAGTGCCAGACGTGTCCCCCTACTTAAGCCAGTACATGTCCAGGCCCGTCTGAAGTTTGCTAGAGTGCATTTGGATGATCCAGAAGAGAATGTCATATGGTCAGATGAAACCAAAATAGAACTTTTTGTTAAAAACTCAACTCGTCGTGTTTGGAGGACAAAGAATGCTGAGTTGCATCCAAAGAACACCATACCTACTGTGAAGCATGGGGGTGGAAACATCATGCTTTGGGGCTGTTTTTCTGCAAAGGGACCAGGACGACTGATCCGTGTAAAGGAAAGAATGAATGGGGCCATGTATCGTGAGATTTTGAGTGAAAACCTCCTTCCATCAGCAAGGGCATTGAAGATTAAACGTGGCTTGGTCTTTCAGCATGACAATGATCCCAAACACACCGCCCAGGCAACGAAGGAGTGGCTTCGTAAGAAGCATTTCAAGGTCCTGGAGTGGCCTAGCCAGTCTCCAGATCTCAACCCCATAGAAAATCTTTGGAGGGAGTTGAAAGTCCGTGTTGCCCAGCGACAGCCCCAAAACATCACTGCTCTAGAGGAGATCTGCATGGAGGAATGGGCCAAAATACCAGCAACAGTGTGTGAAAACCTTACAGAAAACGTTTGACCTGTGTCATTGCCAACAAAGGGTATATAACAAAGTATTGAGAAACTTTTGTTATTGACCAAATACTTATTTTCCACCATAATTTGCAAATAAATTCATTAAAAATCCTATGTGATTTTCTGGATTTTTTTTCCTCATTTTGTCTGTCATAGTTGACGTGTACCTATGATGAAAATTACAGGCCTCTCTCATCCTTTTAAGTGGGAGAACTTGCACAATTGGTGGCTGACTAAATACTTTTTCCCCCCCACTGTATAACCGTAGATTTCGTTTGGTGGTAGTCAGACTGCAAAGTCAGTCTAGGAGAATTCTGTAGGGACGCCAAACACAACACTGCTTAGTTTTAATTTTTTCGACGGTTAAAATGGCTCTGTGTTTATTTATTTTATTTGTGTGCGTGTGTGTGTTTTTCTACCTAAATCTATTTCCGACTGTACATATTAGCATGATAATGAAATCAGTTGAATAGCACATGAGAAACTTTGTTTTCGCAATATTTCCCCAGTTCACAAAAAGTAATAAAATAATTTGTGCATTTATGAAAGAGGTGCTTTTTGTACAGGACATAGATGGATTAGGGAAAGAATTGCAATTCAACACCGTCCAGTCATCATTGTCCTAATATTGAGGATAACATCTTTCTTTTGGGGTCCGTTTCATAGCAAACAGAACACTACCTGCAGCGATGGACTCCAGCTCTTGCAAAATAGGGACAATCTTAACTTCCACACCACTGATTCCTCCTCAGCCTCCTGGCTGGCTGGTCTGTCTCCGTTGCCTAACTCTGTTCCTAACTCTGACACAGAAACAAGGAGATGAAAAGGGAAGAAAATAAAACAGTTAGACAAGGCTACTGCCTCAAACCTCAACTTGGTGCAAGTATGGCTCACAAGTTCAGCGTCTTAAAATAAATTGTTCTGCAGGAAGTTTGATGCCTGCAACGAAAGTTCATCGTTCCCATCTGCACTTCCTCTGATTTGTGTGTGTGTCTGTGTGTCTGTGTGTCTGTGTGTGTGTGTGTGTCTGTGTGTCTGTGTCTGTGTGTCAGTGTGTGTGTCTGTGTGTGTGTGTGTGTGTGTGTGTGTGTGTGTGTGTGTGTGTGTGTGTGTGTGTGTGTGTGTGTGTCTGTGTGTTTTCTATCTCACATCCTGACATCTCTTTAATGAACATTTGCATATTATCTGTGTGCCTGGCTGCCTGGTGCAGGAAGCGGTGGTTACAGACCAACAGCTCTGACAGCCATTGGCTGCTGCTTACAGAAGGTGGGAGTGAGGCCCTTAGCAACACCACTCTGCCTGATCAGTGTGCCACTCTGCTAAGCTCTCACAGTCGAGAGGAAAGAAATGTGTTTATGTTGGAGATGAGATTAACACTACATTCTTGGTTCTTTTCATTTAGCAGCTTACTGTGTCCTCCACCAGTCAATGTGTAAATATCAAACCAACTCTGAATTTAAGCTAAAATAAAATAAAAACATCATTCAAAGTCAGGGTAACAAAGGTAAAACTAAATCAAAATCTATATTCAAATGAACTTGTTACAAACTTGTTATAAGCACTAAAGGTTTTGACACACATCTACCCATCTACAGATTAATTACAAATGAAAAGATAAAAGATAAAATGTCTTGAGTCAATAAGTATTCAACTCCTTTGTTATTGTAAGCCTAAATATGTTCAGGAGTAAAAATGTGCTTAAACAAGTCACATAATAAGTTGCAATAATGTTTAACAGGATTTTTGAATGACTACCTCATCTCTGTACCCCACACATACAATTATCTGTAAGGTCCTCCAGTCGAGCAATGAATTTCAAACACAGATTAAACCACAAAGACCAGGGAGGTTTTCCAATGCCTCACAAATAAGGACACCTATTGGTAGATGGATAAAAAAGCAGACATTAAATATACCTTTGAGCATGGTGAAGTTATTCATTACACTTTGGATGGTGTATCAATACACACAGTCACTACAAAAATGCAGGTGTCCTTCCTAACTCAGTTATCAGAGAGGATGGAAGGCCAATGGCGACTTTAAAACAGTTACAGAGTTTAATGGCTGTGATAGGAGAAAACTGAGGATGGATCAACAACAATGTAGTTACTCCACAATACTATTGTTTGCAATAAGGCACTAAAGTAAAACTGCAAAAAGAATTGCTAAGAAATTAACTTTATGTCCTGAAAGCATTATGTTTGGGGCAAATCCAACATATCACTGAGTACCACTCTTCATATTTTCAAACATGGTGGTGGCTGCATCATGTTATGGGTATGGTTGTCATCGGCAAGGACAAGGGAGTTTTTTTTAGGATAAAAATAAATGGAATAGAGCTAAGCACAGGCAAAATCCTAGAGGAAAACCTGGTTCAGTCTGCTTTCCAACAGACACTGGGAGACAAATTCACCTTTCGGCAGGACAATAACCTAAAACATAAGGCCAAATATACACTGGAGTTGCTTACTAAGACAACATTGAATGTTCCTGAGTGGCCTAGTTACTGTTTTGACTTAAATCGGCTTGAAAATCTATTGCAAGACTTGAAAATGGCTGTCTAGCAATGATCAACAACCAAATTGACAGAGCTTGAAGACATTTTAAAAAGAATAATGAGCTAATATTGTACAATCCAGGTGTGCAAAGCTCTTCGAGACTTACCCAGAAAGACTTATAGCTGTAATCGCTGCCAAAGATGATTCTAACATGTACTGACTCAGGGTGTGAATACTTATGTAAATGAGATAGTTCTGTATTTCATTTTCAATAAATGTGCAAAAATTCTAGAAATATGTTTTCTCTTTGTCATTATGGGGTATTGTGTGTAGATGAGCAAAAAACAAATATGTATTTAATCCATTTTGAATTCACACTGTAACACAACAACATTGTGGAATAAGAAAAGGGGTGTGAATACTTTCTGAACTGTATGTGACCAGTTACTTCAGTTAACACTAGGTGTCCCCATTGCAACAGAGGTTGCAGAAACTGAAGCTGCACCGCCTGATACTGTATCTTATATAGCTTGTGTTCTCTGCCCCTGTGTGTGTGTGCCTGAGCTTGTGTCAGTCTCATACAAAGCGATCTGCAACAGACAGGAACTGAGACCACAGCTTCGTGGGTTAACCATGGTTAAAGCCGTTCATGCTTTGTCACTGTGACTTTACTCAACAGTTATTTTCAGTTACAGAACGGACAGTAACACCAATAACTTGCTGTTTTAATCTGCACTGTTTTGTTCACAGATGATCAAATTAATCTTGAGAGTGCTCTAATATCCCTACCGTATGTAAGTCATTGTAAGAGCATATGGGAGAATAGATACAGTTGAAGTCGGAAGTTTACATACACCTTAGCCAAATACATTTAAACTCAGTTTTTCACAATTCCTGACATTTAATCCTAGTAAGAATTCCCTGTATTAGGTCAGTTAGGATCACCACTTTATTTTAAGAATGTGAAATGTCAGAATAATAGTATAGAGAATTATTTATTTCAGCTTTTATTTCTTTCATCACATTCCCAGTGGGTCAGAAGTTTACATACACTCAATTAGTATTTGGTAGCATTGCCTTTAAATTGTTTAACTTGGGTCAAACGTTTCAGGTAGCCTTCCACAAGCTTCCCACAATAAGTTGGATGAATTTTGGCCCATTCCTCCTGACAGAGCTGGTGTAACCGAGTCAGGTTTGTAGGCCTCCTTGCTCGCACACGCTTTTTCAGTTCTGCCCACATATTTTCTATAGGATTGAGGTCAGGGCTTTGTGATGGCCACTCCAATACCTTGACTTTGTTGTCCTTAAGCCATTTTGCCACAACTTTGGAAGTATGCCTGAGGTCATTGTCCATTTGGAAGACCCATTTGCGACCAAGCTTTAACTTCCTGACTGATGTGTTGAGATGTTGCTTCAATATATCCACATCATTTTCCTTCCTCATGATGCCATCTATTTTGTGAAGTGCACCTGTCACGACTGTCTGTGAGATGCGGTAAACGAAGTCAGGCGCAGGACACAGAACTCTCGGATACGTACTTTTAATACGAAAAGGATCCAAAAGGACACAGAAAATAACTCCACGCAGGGAGGAAATAACCCACTCACAAAAATGACAACCGTGAAGGGGAAAACAATCACACACAAAGTACAGGTGAGAGACAGGGGTAATAAAAAAAAAAAGGGTTTTAATGACTCCAACCTAAATGTATGTAAACTTCCGACTTCAACTGTAAGTAAACAGAGTCAAATTCTGCATGGAATTAACATAATGACGAACAGGTGTAAACAATACAGACAAAACTAAACAAACACCGATAACATCGAACGGCAGTAGCTAGTACTCCGGGGACGACGAACGCCGAAGCCTGCCCAAGCAAGGAGGAGGAGCAGCCTCGGCAGAATCTGTGACAGCACCAGTCCCTCCTGCAGCAAAGCACCCCCACAGCATGATGCTGCCACCCCCCGTGCTTCACGGTTGGGATGGTGTTCTTTTTGTTTCATCAGACCAGAGGACATTTCTCAGAAAAGTCCGATCTTTGTCCCCATGTGCAGTTGCAAACCGTAGTCTTGCTTTTTTTATGGCGGTTTTGGAGCAGTGGCTTCTTCCTTGCTGAGCGGCCTTTCAGGTTATGTCGATATAGGACTCGTTTTACTGTGGATATAGATACTTTTGTACCTGTTTCCTCCAGCATCTTCACAAGGTCCTTTGCTGTTGTTCTGGGATTGATTTGCACATTTCGCACCAAAGTACGTTCATCTCTAGGAGACAGAACGCGTCTCCTTCCTGAGCGGTATGATGGCTGCGTGGTTCCATGGTGTTTATACTTGGGTACTATTGTTTGTACAGATGAACGTGGTACCTTCAGGCATTTGGAAATTGCTCCCAAGGATGAACCAGACTTGTGGAGGTCTACAATTGTTTTCTGAGGTCTTGGCTGATTTCTTTTGATTTTCCCATGATGTCAAGAAAGGAGGCACTGCGTTTGAAGGTAGGCCTTGAAATACATCCACAGGTACACCTCCAATTGACTCAAATGATGTCAATTAGCCTATCAGAAGCTTCTAAAGCCATGACATAATTTTCTGGAATTTTCCAAGCTGTTTAAAGGCACAGTCAACTTAGTGTATGTAAACTTCTGACCCACTGGAATTGTGATACAGTGAATTATAAGTCAAATAATCTGACTGTAAACAATTGTTGGAAAAATTACTTGTGTCATGCACAAAGTAGATGTCCTAACCGACTTGCCAAAACTATAGTTTGTTAACAAGAAATTTGTGGAGTGGTTGAAAAACGGGTTTTAATGACTCCAACCTAAATGTATGTAAACTTCCGACTTCAACTGTAAGTAAACAGAGTCAAATTCTGCATGGAACTTACAACTCCCTCAAGGGCTAAAGCATCTATTGGATGACTTACTAACATAACTGAAGCTGGTACACATCACATAGACTAGAGCAGAGAGCACAAGCAGAGACAATTGTTATTCTAAATGTCAGAGAGAGAGAGGGAGGAAAAGAGGGAGAGAGACAAACACACACACACAGAGACATACTGCAGAGAGAGAGAGAGAGAGAGAGAGAGAGAGAGAGAGAGAGAGAGAGAGAGAGAGAGAGAGAGAGAGAGAGAGAGAGAGAGAGCGAGAGAGAGCATGGGGTCTGTGTGATGGGATTAGGGCCTGATAATAGGGCCTCTGTGTGTGATAGTGCATTCTCCGAGACATGATCTCATCTGTGTCTTGGGCCTGGGCATGGCTTGGCCTGTGGACAGCAGTCAGTCAGTCAGTCCCAGCAGAGATGCTGCTACGCGGCTTCTAGCCGTACCCAGATGGGCACCCAAATCTAATAGACAGCCATTTGGAGCTATAAAGCCCAGGCCTATTGGAGAAAAAGAAGCAGCCAATGTCTAATCTCTCTCTGTTTATTTCTCACTCTCTTTCTCCATTTCTCAAGCGTGCACTGCACACTCCAAATGACTCTGTATATCAGTCTGTTATTCGTTCTCTATCTCACCCCTGGCTCAACCCCTCACTCTCTTTTTTCTGTCTCTTTCCACTCTCTCTAAGATGGCCTGGTCTAAATAGGAAAGTTCTTAACAAGGAGAATGACTGGAGGTAGAGAGTACAGACATGTAAACCTTGAACACTGAACTTGAACTGTGCAAAAATAAAATGAAGGTATGAGTTTGCAAGACAAAGAGCCAGCTGCAGTGAATAACGTTTTCCACCTCAACCAACCAAGTGGGAATGTAAATCAGGTATAATTTCCTCCTTTGAATAGTTCCATTCATTTCCCTTTGGGAGAAGAGCTGCTCCAGCCCTCTGCCTGAGCAAATGATTTATTAATAATAAAATGACTGGCAGACAACACGCTGAGATATTTCCTTACAATAATAAAGTGTTAATGTTTTGCTTATTGCAACCATCGACCATCCCTCTCCACTCCCTCCTCCCTCCTCCCCCCTCAAAAACCCTAACATGCACCTCTCTATATCTTACTTTATATTACCTCCCATCTCTCTTTCATTTCTCCCTCTCTCTCCATCTCCCCTTACCGTGCCACAGGTGGGAGTGTTGTCAGAGAGCCAGCTCTGAGGAGGCGCGCCCTCGCCCCTGCCGCCCTCCTCTTCAGCTCCAGGGGGTCAGAGGGGGGTTTTGGGAGGGCTTTGGGGCTGGCGGGGTCTGGTTCCTCATCCTGGGCCACTGGCAACCTGGGCTTCTGGTAGCCCACAAAAATGACTTCCTCATTGAGGGACCAAGCACTGATGTAGTATGTGTAGTCTTCAGCTGATCAGAACAATAGACTCAGGCTTTCCTAGATCCCCAACAAGTTCACAAGGATACACACAGATGAATGTACAGTTCAACAGTAAGGATATGAGATGTACAATGAGGAGAAGAACCCACATGTTCCAGAGGAGACAGGCGAGTTCCAGAACCCGGTATGGAGTCTGGTGCTTCAAAGTTGCGAGTGTAGATGCTGAAAGAGGAAAAGAGAGACCTTATTAATTTAGTACACTGTATGGATGTGACACTAGACTACTTCTAGGGGGGTTACAAGATAGGGGCTTTAACCAGATCCCTAACCTGAACATAGAGGGAGGTTGGAGCATCTTGGGCTCGAGAGGAGGTCTCCCCGAACAGCTGTCTGTGGTCCTCAGCGAACACCTGATCTCGGTGACGATCTCTGCGCTGGTCTTCCTCCGAGGGTCAGGTTTCAGGGTAAAAGGGCTGTGTTTCTCACGCTTCCTCCCCAAAGAAGACATTTTGTGAGGGTTGTTGCCAGCAGGACCAGGGATGAGGTCAGGAGGATTACTTTATTTTATTACTGAAGTGGGTTCAGTCCTGGGTCTATTACTGAAGAGGAAAGGTTGGGTTGTATGGGTGAATTACACACAGTGTTTTAAGCCATTGCAGAAATAGGCACCAAAAAATGCATTTAAGTAAAGGTCATAGTGCACTGATATGCAGAATTACAGTGAATTAGGCTTGTTGTGAATGAGAAAGCATGCGTGTCCTCGCTCAGTCACCAATGGAGTCACGAGAGCAGCAGAGGCAGTCTAGGTTGAAGATGTTTCACCTAGGAGACAGCAGGAAGCATTTGACTAGTGACAACAAACCGGAGTGGCTCAAAAGTAACAGAAACTGTGTACAGAAACAAGCAAATTCAATTTTCATCTTGGTTGCACTCAGAAATGTTCAACCGATAGCACTGCCAGGAATACACACCATGAACTGCTGTACCTCCGGAGAGGTGTAAAAAACCAAGCATGCTAGATATGCTACACTAACGTCACACGTTAGCCAGGCTAGCTTGTTAACATTTTTGGGATCAGAAGAAGTACCTAGAATTCCTATTGCTAAAATAAACTTACCGTCTATTGGTGATCACCATAAAATGACTGGCCAATTTTGAGACAACCCAACTTCTACAGCCAAACAGGAAAAGTAATTGCTTCTCAAGTTTGACTCAAGTGAGTTTGCAGAGGTAGCTAGCCAGCTAGCTGAAAATGACTGACGTTGTCGCGTTCGGGCACAAGCCTCAACATCCGTTTGTCATCATGATATGTGTCCAGCATTTGCCCAGGTGAGTCCCTCAGCATCTTCACAGTGTTTTCGTACAAAAAATAGTTGTCACAGACAATAATATAATATCCTTCATTTCCATTTCTCACTAAACTGACATGACCAAAAGCAGGTCAATTGCATCACACCACCACATACAGTGGGGGAAAAAAGTATTTAGTCAGCCACCAATTGTGCAAGTTCTCCCACTTAAAAAGATGAGAGAGGCCTGTAATTTTCATCATAGGTACACGTCAACTATGAAAGACAAAATGAGAAAACAAAATCCAGAAAATCACATTGTAGGATTTTTAATGAATTTATTTGCAAATGATGGTGGAAAATAAGTATTTGGTCAATAACAAAAGTTTCTCAATACTTTGTTATATACCCTTTATTGGCAATGACACAGGTCAAACGTTTTCTGTAAGTCTTCACAAGGTTTTCACACACTGTTGCTGGTATTTTGGCCCATTCCTCCATGCAGATCTCCTCTAGAGCAGTGATGTTTTGGGGCTGTCGCTGGGCAACACGGACTTTCAACTCCCTCCAAAGATGTTCTATGGGGTTGAGATCTGGAGACTGGCTAGGCCACTCCAGGACCTTGAAATGCTTCTTACGAAGCCACTCCTTCGTTGCCCGGGCGGTGTGTTTGGGATCATTGTCATGCTGAAAGACCCAGCCACGTTTCATCTTCAATGCCCTTGCTGATGGAAGGAGGTTTTCACTCAAAATCTCACGATACATGGCCCCATTCATTCTTTCCTTTACACGGATCAGTCGTCCTGGTCCCTTTGCAGAAAAACAGCCCCAAAGCATGATGTTTCCACCCCCATGCTTCACAGTAGGTATGGTGTTCTTTGGATGCAACTCAGCATTCTTTGTCCTCCAAACACGACGAGTTGAGTTTTTACCAAAAAGTTATATTTTGGTTTCATCTGACCATATGACATTCTCCCAATCCTCTTCTGGATCATCCAAATGCACTCTAGCAAACTTCAGACGGGCCTGGACATGTACTGGCTTAAGCAGGGGGACACATCTGGCACTGCAGGATATGAGTCCCTGGCGGCGTAGTGTGTTACTGATGGTAGGCTTTGTTACTTTGGTCCCAGCTCTCTGCAGGTCATTCACTAGGTCTCCCCGTGTGGTTCTGGGAATTTTGCTCACCGTTCTTGTGATCATTTTGACCCCACGGGGTGAGATCTTGCGTGGAGCCCCAGATCGAGGGAGATTATCAGTGGTCTTGTATGTCTTCCATTTCCTAATAATTGCTCCCACAGTTGATTTCTTCAAACCAAGCTGCTTACCTATTGCAGATTCAGTCTTCCCAGCCTGGTGCAGGTCTACAATTTTGTTTCTGGTGTCCTTTGACAGCTCTTTGGTCTTGGCCATAGTGGAGTTTGGAGTGTGACTGTTTGAGGTTGTGGACAGGTGTCTTTTATACTGATAACAAGTTCAAACAGGTGCCATTAATACAGGTAACGAGTGGAGGACAGAGGAGCCTCTTAAAGAAGAAGTTACAGGTCTGTGAGAGCCAGAAATCTTGCTTGTTTGTAGGTGACCAAATACTTATTTTCCACCATAATTTGCAAATAAATTCATTAAAAATCCTACAATGTGATTTTCTGGATTTTTTCTCTCTCAATTTGTCTGTCATAGTTGACGTGTACCTATGATGAAAATTACAGGCCTCTCTCATCTTTTTAAGTGGGAGAACTTGCACAATTGGTGGCTGACTAAATACTTTTTTCCCCCACTGTACTGTAGTAGGTAGGCTATGTAATACATCATCAATAATCATTTGAACCAGGGATAATAACCAATTTGCCAGCATTGTTTTCTAGATTAGAACCACTGCCAAAATGATACAGTTTCCCTCCTCTGTCATTCCATTTCAAGGTGCTCCATCTTTAGATTATCTTTAAAATGGACATTGTGCTGTTTGTCACATTCTTATATTTTTCTATGTCCTTCCCAGTGCCCCAGGGATGTTTTAAACCCAGACGTAAACTGTCTCAAACAATAGTCACTCTGGTTAAGTGTTCAGAATAAGGCATTGATTTATAACAATAACCATAAATTGAGAGGGCGTGCACCCTGTCCCTTTCAGCTGAACAGGCTTTATAGTACCCTGATTCCCGATTTATACCCTCTGGCTAAATAAGAAATCTGCATTAATGTGTCTACCCCTTTGAATTTTACATTTACATTTTCGTCATTTAGCAGAAGCTCTTATCCAAAGCGACTTACAAATTGGTGCATTCACCTTATGATAGCCAGTGGAACAACCACTTTACAATATTATTATTATTTTTTTTAATTTTTTTTGGGGGGTGGGGTAAGGGGGGGTAGAAGGATTACTTTATCCTATCCCAGGTATTCCTTAAAGAGGTGGGGTTTCAAGTGTCTCCGGAAGGTGGTGAGTGACTCCGCTGTCCTGGCGTCGTGAGGGAGCTTGTTCCACCATTGTTGTGCCAGAGCAATGGTGGAACAAGCTCCCTCACGACGCCAGGACAGCGGAGTCACTCACCACCTTCCGGAGACACTTGAAACCCCACCACCTTCCGGAATCACCCACCTCCTCTTTCTACATTTACATTTACATTTTCTCTTTCTCACTGGCACATTAAACCACTGCTGCATTTAAAATCTAATTTTGTAGTGAAAAATGGGACAGCTTGTTTAACTAAG